TAGAATTGGATCTGTGTTTGACACATCTGTCCTTACGTTGGACTCGCCAGAAGTGGTATAGCAAAGCTAACAAACCAGACTCTATGTTGGCCCGCTAGATTGCGTTCTTTTGCGCAACACCCCAAACGATATATATTTACGTACTCGTCACAATACCCTTACGAGCAACCCAGTAACGGTTTTAGAGGAGTTCCGGCACAGACTAGCTAAACTTTACTCTGATCCCACCCGGGCTGACCCTCAGTCTATTTCTGACTTCTTATCTAGTTTGTCATTACCTACTTTAACGCCGGCCCATAAGGATCTGATGGATCGCAATATCCAAGAATCTGAAGTTTTGCAATGTATTGCGGAACTGAAAACAGGCAAACGCCCAGGTCCTGATGGATACACGGCACTATATTATAAGAAATTGGCTGATGTGCTCGCTCCCCACCTTGCCGCTATGTTTAATGCGGTGAAGGGAGGTTCAAATTTTTCCCCGGACTCTTTAACTGCTAATGTGGTTATGATCCCTAAACCGGATCGAGACCATTCTTCCTGGGCTAATTATAGGCCTATCTCTCTTATCAATATCGATATGAAGATTCTTACTAAGATTTTGGCTACTCGATTGAATTCCTTCCTTTCTCGTTGATTAAAAAGGATCAGGTGGGATTTGTTCCCCATAGGCAGGCCGGAGATGCTATTAGACGTATTTTACAATTGCAACATTTGGCCCATACTCGTAAAATCGATATGATGCTCTTATCCTTCGACATCAACAAGGCTTTTGACACTTTATCCTGGCCGTATCTCCTGTCGGTCCTCCATTGTTTTGGCTTCGGTCCTTCCTTCTTGCGATGGATCTCTTCACTATATACATCCCCTCAAGCGAAGCTTAGATACTACGGATTTGAGTCTTCTACGTTCTCGGTTGCTAGAGGTACTAGGCAGGGCTGCCCGCTTTCCCCTTTACTTTTTATCTTAGCCCTGGAACCGTTGGCAGAAGCAATCCGTGTACATCCTGATATTAAGGGAATCGATTGTGGCGGGCTCCCAACATAAATTATCATTGTTTGCGGATGACATATTATTGTCAATCTCGAATCCGGGGATTACTTTGCCTAATTTACTAGCAGTTCTTGATTCTTTTGCCACCCTCTCAGGTTTACACGTCAATCCAGCTAAATCAAGAGCTATGTCAGTTACCCTCCCACCATCACTTCTGACTACTTTGAAGCAAATGTTCCCCTTCCAATGGCTTTCGGCCTTACCATATCTAGGAATTAAGCTTACCCCGACATATGATGGACTGTATCAGGCTAACTTTCCCACTGTTTTTCATGAGTTGACTGAGCTCTTGTCCTCTTGGTCCCATTTCCCGTTATCATGGTTTGGCAGAATTAATGCAATCCGTATGACCTATCTTCCTAAACTACTATACCTATTTCGTGTTCTGCCAGTTTCAGTACCTTCGCATGTATTGCGTATACATCAGCGAAAACTTTTGTCCTTTATTTGGGGCTCCTCTCGACCTAGAATTAGCAAGCACATTTTATTTGCGCGGCGGAATGCGGGCGGGTTATCTGTTCCAAATCTCCAGTCCTATTATTTGGCGGCTAACATTGCCCCTTTAGCTCACATTCATGCTTCTCACCATTTCCCCCTGTGGGCTGTAGTAGATATGATGGACTCTCACCCGATACCGCTCCCCTCCTTGCCCTGGCTCCCTAATTCTCAGCGTCCATCTAATCTTAGCCCAACGCTGACACTTTCGCTTCGTCTTTTGGGATTCTATAAAATACTCCACTGGCCTTATCTCTCCTCATCTGCCTCTGATACGTCTATTGCATAACCCATTATTCCCTCCGGGTAAGGATAACCCTAGACAGTTTGTCTGGTGGCAGACACATGGTTTTTATGATATTCATTCACTCCTATCCCCCACCAGAATAATTACCTTTGACACTTTGCGTTCTTCTTACAACATTCCCCTCCGAGAACATTTTGGTTATCTTCAACTTCGTCACTTTATTCATACTCTAATACGTACGCATCCAGGACCATACCGTTTATCCCCTTTTGAAAGCCAGTGTAGACATAGACCTCATGCTCCAGGTCTGATCTCCCTGATTTATTCTTCCATTATGTCATATAGAACCCCTCCGGTTCGTTCCTACCATCAGCGTTGGCAGTCGGAATTAGGGGGAAGCCTGGATCAACAAGACTGGCAGCTCATGACCCAAAACATTATCTAAGTGTTTCCAGGAATGTTATTATTCTTGAGAATGCCTACAAAATTCTATACCGATGGTATTATACGCCTGCCCGTCTAGCTAGTTTTATTCCTACCTATTCCCCGGTTTGTTTTCGGGGATGTCAACAATTAGGTACCATGGCACATATCTGGTGGACTTGTCCTAAGGTAAGCAGGTTGTGGATTAGGGTGTACGCCCTCCTTCGCACTATTCTTCATACAGACATTAAGCGTAATCCATATGAAGCGCTTCTATTTAAACCCACTAGAGGGCCTTCTCCGCTCTGAACGGCAACTGGCATCACATTTTTTTATGGCAACTAAGTTGACGATTGCGAGGGCTTGGAAGACTCCTGTTCTTAGCTTTGAGGCTGTCAAAAATCGGATGAACTTATAATGGTCAATGAAAAACTGACGGCCATATTATTGGATACCCATACAAAATTTCTGCAGATATGGCGTCCCTGGCTGGACGTAGCCCAGCCCTCGAGATTCGACCAGTCCCTTCTATCGATATGAGGATGGATTCTGCTGTGATCCCCATGGGGCCCCTCCCTCTCCCCCCTTTTTTTTTTTTTTTTTTTGTTGTGTGTCTGTGTGTGTTGTCCATGTCTCTCTACTATTTGTCTTTTTCTACTCTTCTGTTTACTCTGTTCTTAAATATAATTTACGGATCGTACCTGCTGTTCTCTGCGCTGCATCCGTATGGCTATTTATGCAATCTAGATTTCTTTTTAAATTCTAGGTCATGAATATGTACTGTTTTTTGATGCGGCCTTTTCTCGGGCCTTTCCTGTTTATTATAATGTTGATATAGCAATACTTCCCTTTGGAGTTTACATTATCATTGCCCACAAAGGTCTGTTGCCCGTTCTCTCCCAACCTCCCTCCCCATCCCTTCCCTCAGGGCACCTATGTAAACTTTTCAGATTTTGCCTTTATCAATGCATGCCTTGCACCAGCTTCCCTTCATTTATTGTACTATGTAAATGTTGGTCATTGAATTTTTGTTACGATTGTCTGTTCATCTTTGCTTATTATTCAATAAAGCTTTTTGTAAAAGAAAATATGTCTTGTAAAGACTATGTTGCTTCCATAGAGGTATGCGTGGAATCCTGTGAATCCGCCAGGAGGATATTCCAGGTTTTTAGTAAATCCAGGCCAGCCTCCAGTGATTTAATAGTAAAGATCCTACCATGTTGCCGCACTGTTATTTGGTGGGGAACCCCCATTGGTAGGCTATGCCATGGTTTCTTAGGGCCTTAGTGATGGGTATCATTCTTTTTCTGTTGAGGAGGGTAGCTTTAGATAGGTCAGCATATAAGCGGAGATTTGTATGCGATGGCGGGAGTGGCGGCGGGTTTCGGGCCGCCGACATAATTTTGTCTTTTACATGATAGAAATGAATGCGAGCCAATACATCTCTAGGATTGTAAGCTGGTAAAAAGGAGGGTTTAGGTAGGCGGTGCGCACGGTCAATTGCGATCTCTATGTCAGAGAGCGATGGAAGGAGAATTTTGATGTATTGCTGTATATATGGTAGTAAGTCGTCGTTGGCGACAGATTCAGGAACCCCTCTGAACTTAATGTTGTTGCAGCGTGATCTGTCTTCCAAGTCGGCTAGTTTTTGGTTGATTTGCTCAATATCAGTAGAGTGGTCAGCATGTGCGTCAATCAAGTTGTTGTGCGCCGTGATTACGTCACCCATTCTATTTTCAATGTGGCTTATTCTGTGTTCCTGTTGTTGTACTATAGTTGATAGCTGGTTGAGTGATGTAAAAATATAGTTGTGTAATGATTGACGCAAAGATGTGAGCATGCTTTTCATGCATAATTCCGTCAGAGGTAGATCAGACGCAGGAAATGCGTCTGTCAGGCATGGCTGTATAAGACGGTTGTGATGGAGGATTTGAGGCCTGAAATACTATACTGGGGTCCTGATCCAATCGTGGCCTGGATTTAGCTGGGCTGAGTGATGTAGAGGACAGTGGGGGTGACAACTCACCAGGGTCCCCTGGGTAGAGCGAGTGCTGCAGCCTGGAGTCCTGATGCTGGGACATGTAGTCCTCCTGCTGGGCGCTGCTGATGTCTCCCTGCTTACAGCCGCGGGCGCCATCTTGGATTCTCGGCCCGACGGCCGGGAAGAGTTGGGTCAGTTTCCCGGGCTGATCGGAGGTTTTTTTTCCTCCGTGGCATAGCTGAGGAGGTCCGGGCACTGAATGTCAGTGCAACGGAGCCTGTGTGGAGTCCCTGGGCCGGTGTGAGCCGCTCGAAATCTGGCGGGTGTGAACGGCGCTGCTCTCAAGGCACGTCCACCATCAGAGCTGGCCGCGCATGCGCCCCTCGATGGTAAATATTTTAAAAGACACAGATACTTATATTGAAATCAAAAGTAATCCCCTGAGTAAAATATAAAAAAAACACACCAGGAATTGATTAATAAAGCAAAGAAAGATGGAATTTTAAATGAGAAAGAGTCAAGATATTTAGTCCCATTACACTGTAGAATGCCTGTTATATATTATCTACCCAAGATACATAAAAGTTTGACCAATCCCCCAGGTAGACCGATTATTAATGGTATTGGATCTATACACTCTAGGACTGGAGAGTACATTGATTTTTTCCTTCAGCCTATAGTTAACTTGTTGCCGACCGCAGATAGCCGAATGACGGCTGCACTGCGGCCGGACAGTTCTGATGAGTGGACGTCATATGACGTCCTCCCAGAACGCGCTCTCCTGCGCGCCCCAGGGGGCGCGCACCCGGCGATCTCCATGATCGCTGTGTCCTACGGACACAGCTGATCACGTGATGTGGTAAAAGGCCAATCACAGTGGCCTTTTACCACGTGATCAGCGGTGTCCAATGACACGCTGATCAGAGGGAAATGCAAGTGCCGGTTCTCGGCTGCAGTTTCCTCACGCTGTCACCCACCTGTGCCACTCTGCAGTGTCACACACCTGTGCCCAGAAGTGCCACCTACCTGTGCCCAGCAGTGCCACCCACCTGTGCCCACCCACCAGTGCCACCCACCTGTGCCCACCCACCAGTGCTGCCCACTAGTGCCACCCACCAGTGCAGCCCAGCAGTGCTGCCAGTCAGTGCCACCAGTCAGTGCCCAGGGGTTGTGCCAGTCAGTGCCGCCAGTCAGTGCCCAGCAGTGATGCCAGTCAGTGCCGTCTATCAGTACCCATCATCAGTGTCACCTATCAGTGCCGCCTATCAGTGCTGCATATTAGTGCCGCCTATCCGTGACACCTCATTAGTGCTGTCTATCAGTGCCGCCTATCCGTGCCACCTCATTAGTACTGCCTATCAGTGCCCTTTAGTGCTGCCTATCAGTGCCCATCAGTGCCGCCTATCAGTGCCCATCAGTGCTGCCTCATCAACGCACATCAGTGAAGGAGAAAAAATACCTGTTTGAAAAATGTTATAATAGAAACAAAGAAAACTTTTTTTTTTTTTTTTTAATTTTTTGCATTTTTTATTTATAGCGCAAAAAGTAAAGTGCCCAGTGGCAATTAAATACCACCAAAAGAAAGCTCTATTTGTGAGAAAAAAATGATCAAAATTTCATATGGGTACAATGTTGCATGACCGCGCAATTGTCAATCAAAGTGCAGCAGCGCTGAAAGCTGAAAATTGGCCTGGTAAATAAGGGAGTATAAGTGCCCGGTAGGCAAGTGGTTAAACAAATGCCTTCCTATCGTAGAGATGCCCAAGATGTTATTGACTTGGTTGAATTTAGAAAAGTCTCTATTAATACTATAATGGTAACAATTGATGTAAACTCGCTCTATACTAATATAAAACATGAAGATGGAATTAAAGCAGTTAAATGGGGTTTAAAAAAATTTACAGATCTGCATATAAAACAAAGAACATTTATTGTAAAATTATTAGAGTTCTGCATAAACAAAAATTATTTTTGGTATGGAGGTAGTTTTTATGAGCAAAAGAAGGAAGTTTAGTAGCAATGGGCGCAAAATTTGCGCCCAGTTTTGCCAATATCTATTTAAGCAAATGGGAGGAGAATGTCATTTTTAATAAAAAATTTAAGGGGCTGGTTCTATGGAAAAGATATATTGATGACATCCTGCTTATCTGGGATGGCCCCATGGATTCGCTAAGGCTTTTAGTACAGTAATAGAGAATAATGAACATGGTTTGGGTTTTTACGGTTAATATGGATAATTGCTCGGTGAATTTCTTGGATTTGAATATTTTTATAGAAAATAATGTTATTTTAACAAAAACGTATTTTAACCCCCCTGGCGGTATTCCCGAGTGTAGCTCGGGGTAAGGTTTCAGTACCAAAAGCGGTAACCCCCCCCGAGCTACACTCGGGAATACACTGCAGCGTTGCTCTGGCATCTGTTCCTCACTTACCTTGTCCTGTGCTCCCGCGATGTCCCCCCTGCAGTGTCCTGGCAATGTAATCCGGCGGATGCCGGCATCTGGGTTCCGTCCCCTGCGAGCGTCGGGACGTACGGGGGACGGAACTGGCGGGAAATTTGAAAATGACAAAAAAGTGACATTCACTAAATACACTAAAATCATAGTAAAACATTCCTGTATCAAACCATTTCACATACATTTTGTCCCGAGTGCTTTGTCCGGCGCCCTGCCTGCATTTTTACTGTTCTTTCTGCCTGGAAACTGAGAAAAGTCCATGGCGTCCAAAAAGCGTCCCTTTAGGTCAGACGCGGTTTTAGACCGGCTAGAGAACAGCGATAGTAAATCAGAACCACTTGCAGAATTGAGTGATAATGATTCGTGGGGGAAATTCCTCATCAGACACTGAAAAACGATTCTGCGACTGAGCTCAGCGATGTGCGAACTTGGCGCTCTATTTCAAATTTCAGTGTTTTTGGTTTGATTATATTATTGAATTAAATGTATTATTATAATATTATTATTTTTTATGATTATTAATTAAATTATAATTTATGATTTCGTGTTTCAAATTTTAACATACCTGGGATGGTTACTAGACTCTTGTTCGGACAGATTTCAGTGAGTTATTCCTAAAAATTACAGGCCTACAATAAAAAAATACATATTTCCATGCAAAAAAAATGTACCGCTTTGAGCACAGAAATATGGACATAATCAGACCGCTAGGGAGGTTAAAGAAACAGATAGGAATGGTTAAATACCTACCCATAGTTGTCACCATCCTACCTAGATTAATGGGATTCCAAAAGGACAATTCTTGAAAATTTTGAGAAATTGTACACAGTTGAAAGAATATATCGAACAAACAGAAATTATTAAGAATAGATTTGTGGAAAAAGGTTATAACCCAGAGGTGTTGGAAAAGATAAGATTTGAAGTAAGTAAAAGCTATATAGGAAATAAGAAATGCAAATCCATACCTAAAAAGAAAAATAATAACAATAAGGTGGAATATACATTTATTTCAGGGTACAGTAACCAATATAAGGAAATTGAATCTATTTTTTACAAATACTGGCCTTTGCTCAGAAAAGATTCAGTTTTAGGACCCAATATTCCGGTAAAACCTACATTTATTTATAAGAAAACAAAAATTCTAAGAGATGTCTTAGTTAAAAATATTATTTCTCCTCCCAAACAAAAAAAACATATGTTTGATTTTATTGGTTATTATCCATGTAAACATGTATTATGTGTAAAGTTACCAATAAACAAGGATGGTTTTGGGTTTCACTTCATGCAGTACGGGTATTAATTTTAATATTAAGAATTTTATCACCTGCACCACCCCTTTTGTCACCTATTTGCTAGAATGCCCATGTCATCTTCGGCACGTAGGCAGGACTATGAGGCCATTATACAAAAGATTGAATGAACACGTTACCAACATTAAAAAAGGAAAAAAAGACCATTGTCTTTCAAGACATTTCAGGGGACTGTCACAATTGTGACCCAAGTGGTCTAAAATTTAGTGGAATCGATAGGGTTGATACGCATTGGAGAGGGGTGACAAAATTAAGGCTATCACGAAAAACGAAACTTTTGGGATTTATGAGCTACAGACTTTAAGACCAAGGGATTTAAATGTAGATCTAGATTTGAAATGTTTTATTTCTAATTTTTAATGGGGGTTGGAGGTATAGGTAGGATCATTTTTGAAGTGTATGGGGATTCATATTAATTATACATTTAAAATGTAATTTTATACTATATTTTAATATTTTACATAATATTTTTATAATAATTTTAGAATAAATATATTAAATAGAATTTATTATGTATTACAGTGGGGAAAAAAAGTATTTTAGTCAGCCACCAATTGTGCAAGTTCTCCCACTTAGAAAGATGAGAGAGGCCTGTAATTGGCATCATAGGTAGATCTCAACTATAAGAGACAAAATGAGAAAAAAAATCCAGACAATCACATTGGCTGATTTGGAAAGAATTTATTTGCAAATTATGGTGGAAAATAAGTATTTGATCACCTACAAACAAGCAAGATTTCTGGCTCTCATAGACCTGTACCTTCTTCTTTAACCATTAGCCGCCCGGCCAATGGCCGTTTGGCGGCTTCAAAAGTGCTGCTGCACTCCGGGTGCACGCCATTTGGCATGCTCCCGCACATGCGCAGTTTGCGCTAATGCAGAGCGGCTCAGCAGCGCAATCTGTCACCGGCCGCGTACCTCGGATACGGCCGATGACAGATCTGAGTAGTTGCCCCGTTGCTGGTGCCATGTGACCTGCTGTGACCAAACATGACAGTTGTATACAATGGATGGCTTCATTCATGCCATTCATTGTATACTAGTGCCTAGCTGTGAATGGTCACAGCTAATCACATGCACATGTCATGTGATTAGCTGTGACCAAATCACAGCTAAGCACAAAAAAAAAAAGCTGAATGAATCGATTTCATTCAGGTAAATACTTGCTTATAGCAAAGTAATTCTTTGCTATAAGCAAATTGTGTAAAAAAAATACTGATCACTTCCCCAAAGTAGTACAATGTTACTATGGTAACATTGTACTACTTTGGTCATAGTAAAATATGAAAAAAAAATCTTTAAAAAAAATAAAAAAAAGTAATAAAAAATAAAAAAAAAAAAATAAAAAAAAAATATTTTTTTTTTTTTTTTCATACTGTCACCAGTCAGTGTCCCTGTTCACAGCCATGCCAGTTATATGATGACGCTGTACTGCACTGGTGACAGTATGTAAAAAAAATAAAATAGTGAAAATAATTTTTTTAATTTTTTCATTTTCCGAAAAATTATGACAAAAAAAAATACAACTTCAAAAAACTCGCCATGCCTCTTATGAAGTACGTCGGACTGTCTACTCTGCAAAAAGGGGTCATTTGGGGGATATCTGTACTATTCTGATATTCTTGGACCTCAAGAAATTAGATTGGCTGTCAGTACTTTATTGATCAGGATTGATCAATATTCAGATCTATACCATAGTTTGTGAACTCTATAACTTTCCTACAAACTACATAATACATCCTAATTTGGGTTATTTTCACCAAAGACATGTAGCAGAATACATCTCGGCCTAAATTTATGAAGAACAATTATTTATTTGTAAATTTAAAGTTTTTTTCAAAATTTTTGGTCTTTTTTTGTTAATTTAGCAAAAAATAAAAACCCCAGCAGTGATTAAATACCACCAAAAGAAAGCTCTAGTTGTGTGAAGAAAATGATAAAATTTTAGTTTGGGTACAATGTTGTATGACCGCGCAATTGTCATTCAAAGTGTGAGAGCACTGAAACGTGAAAAATGGCCTTTGCAGGAAGGTGTAAAATTGCACAGTATTGAAATGGTTAAGAGGCTCCTCTGTCCTGCACTCATTACCTGTATCAATGGCACCTGTTTGAACTTGTTATCAGTATAAAAGACACCTGTCCACAACCTCAAACAGTCACACTCCAAATTCCACTATGGTGAAGACCAAAGAGCTGTTGAAGGACACCAGAAACAAAATTGTACACCTGCACCAGGCTGGGAAGACTGAATCTGCAATAGGCAAGCAGCTTGGTGTGAACAAATCAACTGTGGGAGCAATAATTAGAAAATGGAAGACATACAAGACCACTGATAATCTCCCTCAATCTGGGGCTCCACGCAAGATCTCACCCCGTGGGGTCAAAACGATCACAAAGAACGGTGAGCAAAAATCCCAGAATCACCTAGTGATTGACCTGCAGAGAGCTGGGACCAACGTAACAAAGGCTACCA